AAATCAGGGGCACTACATCATATCCCCATGTCCTCTTATTTTCATATCTACGAATTAAGGATGTAGCTTAAGAGAATAACGCTCAGCATGCCAACAGTAACTTCTAGAAGGATTTTAAAGCACTGAGAAAAGTAACAAGTTTATACTAACAGCTCCTGAGATGATCACTGCTTTGAAAAATAGACACAAATGGGATTTAATCCCACTGATCTAAGACTTCAGATATGCCACCTGCCAAATACTGCGCACTCATTACCAGGTTACACATGCTTTGTCCACAAGTAAATTAAACTCAAATTGCAAATATTGGACAATGAGAGAAAAGCACCCGTAGGAAGTGTAGGGTTAGCTGTCCTGCCCCTGCAGTTTCACCCCACGGACATGCCAGGAAGAGAAGAAACACCTCAGAAGCAACCCAGCCCTGTGGCAGCTCTTTACACAGGATAAGCTGCAGGAGAAGAAGCTGAAGTCAGGGGAAGCCAGCACTGAAGATCATAAAAGCTATCCTTTCTAGGGAGGATTTTTACCTAGTCACCAATGGTAAGGGCAGAAGTGACTGGACAAGAATCCTGTTTCCATTCAAGCCTCCTGTCACCAAACCAGCAAAGCCTCTCCCCAGTGTCTGCCCTACGGCCAGCTGAGGCCCCTGCACCCAGTAACAGTCATGGCTTGTAACTCCAGCACTTCTTTATTTTCCTGAGAAGACAACTTTCTTGCTTGGTTAGAAACCTTTTTTTTCCCCTGGCACAGCAGTAAGAGGCTCTCAGTTTCATATTAAAAAAGAAAAAGAAAAAGAAAAAAGACGGACGTGTTTTAAAACACTTCTGGGAAAAGAAAGACCCCACCTTCAATACTCTCCCGCTTTCTCCGTTCAGCCAAATCAAGAATCCAATCACAATCCAACGGAAATAAATCCCATTTGGAGCTACAGCAGCAGCACAGCCATTTAACGTTTTCTCCCCTGGCAATCCTTCAAATGGAACGAACAACTACTGATAGGGAATGAAAATGCCTTTAGGGAGGCGTAGAAAATTTCTCATTTATTCCCAGAGCTTCTTAAGCACTTTAAGCATGTCGTAACAGGTTTTATGAACCACCCTGAGCAAAAGAAAAGAAAATATCATGGAGCATAAATTAACGTTTGGGGGTGTTTTCCAGAATCTAGACTCTCCGACACATCAGCACATTACTACAAATCATAGCTGGTGGGAGCCCAGGGAGGAGGCAATATACTTGCTGCTTCTCTCTCCCAGTGTAATAAAACGGAAAGAGTCTTTTGCAGCTTTTCTACCCATTTCCCTCATCCAGGCACAGGGAAAGAAATTAAACTCAACTGCACGACAAGATCTTGGCTAGACATTATCCAAAGGAACTTTTCTTAATTGGTCTGCTGGAGGCAGGGGTGGCTGCAAGCCCTAAAATCATTACCTAAGCGCTCCTTTGTGCGACAGGGAGTTTCCCAAATAAGTAACAATTAAAAACCAAAAGTGCCCCATAGCCTCCTGTTCCTTGTGGAGATAGACAATGAATCCCCAGTATCGGCACCAAAACCTACAAAGTAATACAGGAGCTTCAAATCTGTCTCAGTCTAAGAAGAACACAACCACAAGCAGCCGAGAATAAAGCACAGGCCCCATCTCACACCCAGGCAGACAACCTGCCCCTGACATCTCTCAGCACTGCTCACTGCTCAATAAGCACCTTCAAGTGCAGGGAAGATCGGCCAATAAAGGAGAAAAACACAGCCCCTGAGGTGCTGAGAGCTGTTTGAGGATGTTTAAACCAGCCAGGCTCTCCAGCTGGGCTACACCAATGGTATTCACCACCT